TCAGTAAATGAAAAAGTCAGAAGCATCATTTTGTATGAAAGGCACATAAATAAGTTATGAATATCTTATACATTTTGATATGTGTCATTTTTTTATAATTTCAATAAAAACTTATTTAATATTGTTTTGCTTATAACCTTAAGAGAAATACAAAAACGTTTATAAATTAAATTATTACGAATAAACACATCAAGAAAATCAATTACTAAAATAAAATTGAAAATAAATTATAAAATTATTGTTATAATCTAATTTTATGATCCTGATATTTTGTAAATAGATTTTAATATGAAATTATTTGGATAAAATATGAATCCAATTGAATATTAATTGATTGTACATATAATTAAAGTTAACTCAATACATATAATAAAAGCTAACTCAATAAGCTCAATAACATTCAATATTTTCAAGGAAAATATAATCTTTTTGACTCTACTTTTGGGTTCAGACATTTGAGTTGTATATACGTTTCTTATGTCTTTATATTGGACTCTAAAAATACATGTTAATCTTATAATCATCGAATTCTTTAATGTTTCATTTCTTTTTTACTTTAATCATAAGTTAGTAACCAATCATAATTTCGGAATATCGTTTCTGAAACAATAGTCAATTTAAAAAAGATAGAAATATTATGAATGTTATTTGTCTGCATCAATATCGAAGTAGTTGAAAATCACTTTATATTTTCATGTTCATGCATTATACATAAAATGAAAAATTAATTTCAATTTCAAGACAAATAATATTCTGAATTTACAAAAAATGATTTTTTAAAACATAAATAATAAATTATTAGATAAATCAAATTATTTATCTTTAAATTTAAATCTAAAACAAAAACTCGCGCATCGCGCAAGTCATATTCTAATACCTTATATTTTATAGTTACAATATTTTCATCTTGATTAAATATGTATATAATGATTTTGATTTGGTGATATTGATAAGTTCCAACTTCCAACAACCAGTAAAGACCTTTTATGTTATTTTGTGTAATTTATTTTTAAAACGTCTGTTCTGCTAATTATTTTTATCCACCCGTTACTATCTCCTACCACAAATACAAGATTTGTTTTTTTTTGTTTTATTTAAAGTGATTACAAACATTTTGAAGTGGTATACAAATGGAATGGTTATATTTGCGGATTTTTTAGAAAATCTTCGGTGAAAGTTTCTTGTTACGTATTTTTTATAAAAATCATGAATTTGATGATTCTCTGACCTTCTCGCCCTAGCTAACTGACATGGTAAAAACAGATTAAAAATACGATTATACAAGTGTCTTCAGTGACCAAGAAGATTTCCGAAGTTCTGATATACATTTAGTATTGAAGTATCCCAGCGAATTGTTTCTATATAAACCATCGTTCCTCACCATAGCTTTTATCAAAATATACACATTACTAAAATATATACACATTACAAAAGAAAATGAAAATGTTTAGCTCCTACCATACCTTTTCACTCTTGGCCATAGCTCTTGTACTAGCTTTTGCTGTTCCTCTAAAAGCCCAAAACACAGCAGAAGACTACTTAAAAGCTCACAACCGCGCTCGAGCCCGCGTAGGCGTTGGTCCCCTGGTTTGGAACACGACGGTGGCTGACTATGCCCTAAGCTACGCCAAGCAGAGACTCGACTGCCGTTTGATTTTATCGAATGGTCCTTACGGCGAAGTTTTAGTATTGGGCGCCACTGACTTATCCGCTGAGGAGGCTGTGACCGTGATGGTTAACCAGGGGGCTGATTACTTTTATGACACAAACACATGTCGTGAAGGGAAAAGATGTGAAGCTTATAAGCAGGTTGTGTGGAGAAAAACGGTGTCGCTTGGGTGTGCTAGAGTCATCAACTGTGCAAATGGTGGATCCCTTACCATTTGCAATTATGATCCTGCTGGCAATGTTGCTGGTGAACGACCTTTCTAAAATATATATACACGTACAAAAGTAATTGTTCTCGAGTATTGAGGACATGTGTGTCTATTTTCTATTCAATAAAAATTATCATCATCTAGAAGGATATGGTGATTCCTTTGTCATTTGTAAAATATATATACGTTTGTGATGGAATGAAGTGAATCAAGTGGTCATATATACAAAAATATTTGGTTAAGGATATGGTGATTCCCGTCTTGTTTGTTTCTTAATCCCTTCTTTTCATTTTAATTGTGTACATATTAAAAGTTCTAGTATAATCCTTATAAAACAAATTGTCTATTTGTATTCTTCATTAGAACGTGCACA